GACGGTAGTAAGAAGTAAGAATTTCAACAGAACGTGGCAGGAAGGTTGGGGGACTCCTCCTTGGCCAAGGAACAAGAAATACGTTATAATGAAGCACAAGACATGTGTAAGAGTATGAAAGGGGAAATGAATGAATGATGAGCAGGTGCTAAATCAGCTTATCAACCCTTCTTGATTGTCATTAGTTTTGATTCACTTTAAACATTTTTTCTCAGTTTGACTTGACTTCAAGTACAGTAGTTATCTCAACTAATTAACAGCTGACTGAATTTACAAAGAATGACTGTTCTCATGCAGTATAGGTCATGCATAAGCACAGTCTGTATAAAATATACAGGCAAACGTGTTCTTGAAACATTACCCAACGGCCCCTCATCTGGGGGCTAAACATAATGTTGAATGTTCACTGTGAGCAGAGCAGGGTGGGGATCAACTTTTGAAGCAATGGTTTTAGTCAACCCCCGTGCATAGTTTATCGTGCACCACACACAGCTTATGTCAACGGATAAGCTGCCATTTCCAATGCCAACTTCTTTATCAACAGTGTTTTGCAACACACAAGTGCAAGCTGTGTGCTTGAGTGTATGTATTTGTGTATTCACGTGTATTCATGTGTGTGTGTGTGTGTGTGTGTGTGTGTGTGTGTTTGTGTGCGTGTGTGTGTGCGCGCGCGCGTGTGTGTCTGTCTGTGTGTGTCTAGCAGGCTAATATCTTCCTAGTAACTAGATTTATGCTGTTCCAGATTTCCATTAATAATCCTCACTCCCACAGAAGGAAACTCCAAAAAGGTGTATCTTTCAGTTGCCATGACGACACTGTCACTATGAGCTCCTCACGCGTATCTATCATGGTGGTGGAAAGGAAGAGCTCCTCAATATAACCAATACTCAAAAAAGACCCCTCCTCCCCCACCAGGACACACTGGTGGAGAAACTTCTAAACATACAGACTCGATATTCGACACCTCCCACTTTTTCCTTAGTCGCCTCCCTCCCCTCACTAAACCCCTGAACCTTTGCATACTAAACAGACATACATTTCACTTACACACGGTCCGTCTTTTCTCCTCTGTACATCGCCACGTTAACATAACACTCAGACTCACAAAGACCTCAGTGTCGAGAGCCAAGTAGCTTTACCCTCCCCCATCATTTGCGGTGCTTGCTTTACTGACATATGAAAAGCTCACGTCTATCGAACAATCGCCCAACGGTGTCGATAACAGCTAGCATAAATACACAATAATGACACAATGAGCTCACTACATACTCACATATGAAATGCTTCCTAGTCCAAACAGTAAATGCTGCCTTATCAATAGGTGTCAACATTTACAATCACTTAATTTTGTTGTGCTTTCACTTCAGTCACAGAACGGCGTCTGCAGTCACCTGAGTGATGATACACTCATTTATTAGCCTAGATCAAGTCAAGTCATCTTTTATTGTCAAATATGCTCAATGTGGAACATACAGCACAGATGAAATTACTTTCCTCTCTCAACCACAGTGCAAACATGTAGTGCATTGAACACACACAGCTAAAATTTACGTTAAAATTCCATAAGACATAAATACATAAATATGTTAAGTAAAAATAAACAAATAGCAACAACAGAAAACCAAGGGCACTGTCTATATCAGGGGTGTCAAACTCATTTCACATGGTGGGCCACATACGGCCTCGGTAGATGTCAAGTGGGCCGGACCATTAAAATGATACCATACTTTGCTATAAATAACCAAAACAATATGTCTTTCCTTTGTTTTGGTATAAAGAAGCACAAGAACATTAGGAAAATGTTGAAATTTAATGAACATATCTTTTACAAAATATTTCATGAACCACCTTACATTTCCTTCGACAAATGTGCAATTTACTTTTATCATTCACATCTATGCATTGCAACTGATCCCACTGATTGTACAAAGGCACAAAACAAGTAATTGGTATTGAAAAATACAGTAATGCACTTTAAGATTAAACAAGATTTATGAAGAAAGGAAGTTTTAAACCATTTACACATGCATATAAAATCTAAAGGTAATCCCTGCCTACACCTTACAAACTAAGGAGAGTGCTATTAAATGTGTAAATGTGAGAGTGCTATTGAAAGCGTCTGCTGTCATGGGTCTGTCTCAGTGACGGACTGAGGCTGCTGTTGTCTTCTTCTCTGATCAAAACAGTGTCCCCTTGCGGATACTCAAAGAATTGCACCTTATTAAAAATATTAATTCTGTGTCTTTAATGCTTTTTTTTCACTTTTAAATTATCCTGCGGGCCTGATTGAACCTCCTTGCGGGCCGGTTCCGGCCCGCGGGTCGTATGTTTGACAACCCTGCTTTACATAATCATCTCGCGGGCCGGATTAAACTCCTTTGCGGGCCGGATACGGCCCGCGGGCCGTATGTTTGACACCACTGGTCTATATTGTATATACATGTTGAAATAAATGTAAATGCAGTACTAACCTCACAATGCTGTCATGAACAAAGTACATTGCAGAAGAAGTTGACATCAACAGCTTCAACTTGGTTGGTGATGGACTTGACCATTATACAAAGCGATGATGAAATCTTAAAAGTGTGTGCCCTGAGCCTCTTACACAGAGATTCCGCAACATGGCAATAACAGAGGGACCATGAGCATGCTACCTTGCTTACACTGAGCCAATCAACTTTGGCAAAGAGCCACTGCGGCTTGTGGATTTATAAAGAGATCCCAGATTCCATAATGAAAGCGTATCACCACTGTCAATACTTCAAATAAGCTACTGCTCTGTTGCCATTCAGACACTGGCAAATAGTGTTACAGCCTTCATAGCTGCCAATAGCCTTGATATTTTGTTTCAGTTTGTGTGATTTCACAGTGAGGAAACAAACATAGGGGCTACTTTGGCTGAAATTGTGATGTTGATTAGCAGGTCCCTTACACCCCTTTTTCCATTCTCCAATGTCAGTATCGATGGCTTCCAGACCGTACAAGTCCTCTGAGTTCCACGAATCCATTGATAGACAGCATGTTCTGCATGAAGCACACACACACACACACACACACACACACACACACACACACACACACACACACACACACACACACACACACACACACACACACACACAAGCAGTGACATACACAGTGCCCAAAGAGTGTTTGTTTTTTACTAGGCTGTGTCAGAGGATGTGTTATGTGTAAATGACTGACAAGGTGAAGGAATATGTTGAGGCTTGTCAGACCTGAGGGGCCAACTGACACACTGCAAGTGAATGGAAGGAACGTGTTTTTGTGTCCCCGAAACTTGACAAGACATAAGAAGACTGGGATCTTGAAGTGAAACTACATGAAGGGAGCAAACATGATTTGTTCAGTTTGTTCTTGTGTTTCCCACACATGCTGTCAAATGGCAGTGTTTGATTTGACAAAGGACTATAGACTAAATATAAGGAAGGACTGGCATTTTAAAGGAATTAATTATATTTATTCAAGTTTAATAAGTTGACCAGTGATATGAGATAGACTACGCTGTCTATTGTTTGTTTTGAAAGGACATTCACAATATACTGTAATATAGTAGTGACGTATTGTATTGACCCCTTTCATCAGATTTTTTTTAACTTAACCTCTTCAAATAATGCTTGAACGCTGTATTTCCTTAAACTCCAGAATGTGTAACTTCTCTGTAATTGTTTCCATTTGTTTAATGCTCCCAAATTCCATGAATGACACTGGACATGACCTCATCGCTGTTTACCACCTATCATGCCGCATGATTTTTCACATTAGATATTTACAGTGATCACATTTCTGATCGCTGATTACATAAGCATGAATTCCTTTGGCATTTTTCTGACAGTAAATACTGAAAAAAAAAACAATGAGTAACCCAGCGTTCTTTGACTGTCACAGTCTCAATTTTTTTTTTTTTACTCTTTGAAAAGCAACCCACGTGTTAATTAGGGTTTTTGGAAAAGGGTTCAAATTAGAGTCTCAAACTCTTAAACTATCAGTTAAAGCTTTTGGGCGATTATGAAATGGTTTATGTCTGCAGTCATAACACAGAATACCCTCGTTGGAGTGACAATAATGTCAACATCACTCTTGAAGTGCCCATGGCGTCCGCATCAGAAGCAGTCAGTCGCCATAAAAATAAAAAAAAAATTTAACAGACGTCCATTAAAACAACGTGGGAGATTAACTAAACTCCGCATTTCTAACATCTTCCAATGAATAATAAGTTCAAGGGAAATCTCCACTTTATTGAATGGAGAAGTCTCAAAAGTAGTTTATGGTGATATAAACTCGTTTAGTCGCTAATGGTGTAGTGGTGCACTCACCTAACATGTGTGCGGGCAGCGTGGGATCAGTTCCTGTTCAATGATGGTGTGGGTGTGGATGGTCGTTCGTTACTGTATGTGCCCTGTGACTGACTGGCAACCGGTTCGGGGTGTAGTCTGCCCCCCCGCCCAAAATCAACTGGGATAGACTCCAGCAACTCCCCGTGACCCTCTTCAGGATAAGTGGTGTTGAAAAATGGATGAATGGAATGGATTAACTCACTTGTTGGTAGTGGGTCACAATAGCTTTTACCTGTACGATTTTGTTGCCTCTTCTCACATTGTCGAGGCTTTGGGTATATGTATGCGTGGGCGGGGGTGTGATTCTCTACTAACGTGAAAAGTAACCTTTTTAGTTTAACAGATAATATACTGCTGTGGAAAAAAAAACAAGCAGCAAAGACAGAACACTGCGTTATTATCCACCCTTGTATCTTCAGTTTGTTGTTATGAACTCAGCATTTACAATCTCGCCCGTTTCGACAGATTACTCAATAAAAAGGTTGTTGTCCTTGTAGGTGGATGACGACGGGATGTGTAATAAAGGCTAGACCCGTTGTGCGCTTGCGCCGTGCGAAACTAATCTTGGGGCTCCGCGAGCAGCCAATAGCGACACGTTGTTTCACCCGTGACACCATCCGCCACTCCCCTTACTAAAGAAGGAAACAAACATCCACCCAGAAAGAGCTGGAGATCACCAGAGACAGAAAGGACCGGAGTGACGAGGCCGAGGAAGGGGGAACTTAACCCATCCGAACCACCCTTGAAACGGACAAGCACGCCAAGCAAAGGCGAGAGAAAAACGTCAAGCAGGAACTGACAAATCGCCCATTTTTTTCCACAAACGTTGGTTTGCCCCCGACGCCTGGCGAGACACTCATCGAATTTCATCAGGTGATTTTCTTGGACTCATAATCGCTTCCTCTTTGAATAGAGCTGGTGTGGGTTTTTGCTGGTCGTGGTTAAATAAATAAAAGAAAGGTGCTGTGATAATCAAGGAACTGTTGGTCATAGCGACCTTTAACGGTGGATTGAAAGGTCAGGTGGCGTGTGCGTGACGGTCTCTTGTGTGTGTGTGTGTGTGTGTGTGTGTGTGTGTGTGTGTGTGTGTGTGTGTGTTTGTGCGTGCGCGTGCGAACGCGTCGTTACAGGGGAAAAAACAAACTGAGCGAGAGTATTTACTCTTTTTCTGCGTTGTAAGTGTTTGCCAGCAACATCGTGAGCACTATGCATCCGCGTCAGCAGCCCTCGAACGTGACTCGGTCTGGTTTGAGGAAAAACATGGGGGAGAGAGATATAGCTGGTGCTTGTTACTGTCTCTTGTGGTTCTACATGGCCCAAGATGGGGGGATGGGGGAACCAAAACCAGATAATTCCTGTCGACAAGTTGAACATTTATACGCCGAATAAACAAGCTAAGCCAGATAAATGAGCTGAAACATTCCAGTCTTGCGCAAAAGAGTCAAGTACGGCGTTACCAAGTGGTTAAATTAGTTTCTTCTTTTGGGTAATTCGATGTGTCGTCGATGTTGCTTTAGAGCTATTTTGGTGGGTCTAAGTCGTGACATTAATGGGTTTTCTTTGGATATATTAATTAGTTGAAATCGTATGAGAAATGGTAGCTCTTCTCGTAATGTCCAAACAGGAAACAAGGAAAATGCAGACAAAGAAAGAAACAAAGGCAACAGAGAGCACACTGTCTAGACTGTTTGACTAAACATTTACTCCTCACGTCCTGTCGTTCACGATTTCTGTTACATTTATTTCTTTAAAAAAAAGAATAATTAGGTACCTGTAACAAAACATGTCTCGTTCTGATCTGTCCAATGTGACTCAGTAGTTTTTAGCAGGGCCTGAAATATGAGCTCAGCTTCCTGCTGATACTCTCTATAGTCAACATAAGAGGAAGACCAACCCTGGCCTGTATAATACGAGTCACTAGAATTCAGTGCTTTATGTGTGCTGAGAAAGGCATTTGTTCAGAGATGCTTTTGTTGAAACCAATGCGTTTTATCAGAACACTTTTATTTAAACTGTCAAGAGGTCAGAGAATCTAGGTAAAACTCCAAGCTAATTTGAAGGGTTATTTTATGCACCTCTCCATGTCTCAAAACCTTTACAGCTTGAAATGTTTTTAGAGCTTTTAATGAAAGGTCTGGCCAGCATGTGTGATTGAGAAAGGAGGGCTCAAATGTGAATGCTAAGCCTATTCCTTTGTTGCCATAAGTGCATGGTTTATACATGTCCAGTCATGTTGACTTAGGTTAGCTCAATACTTAATTGATCCTGGAGGCAATTCTGGAATTCTTCGGTACTTCTTATTGATTAAAGCAGTTCTATTTTTAAATCTGGTGGATTTGGCCCGAGGTCAAAGAGCCTCTAACTTACCGAGCTGATGAGGGAAGAATTTTCACCAGTCAGCAGACGAACACGTGACGCGAAGGCAGAGAAGGTCACCTGTGGGGTTTTCCGAGGAAAGCCTTGACGTGCATTGCATGCACGAGGAAAGGAGTAGGAGGCGGTGGTTTAAGAAATTATATTGTTGAGGTCAGGATACATTTGTTGTTGTGTCATGATATTCTGATACTAATGATTCTGCCAGCCCCTTTGTAACATAAAACTGTCCCAATGTGGTTTGCGACCAAAATATTGACAAGCAAACGGCTGCTATGTTATGGAACAGTGTCAAAGGTAAATTAGAAGGATGTGATACTTTTTGCAGCACAAGGTGTTTTTGTTTTTTTTGGGGTCTGTATTAGTTGATCAGATCCATGGTTAAAGCTTCAGAACACCTTCTAGTCTAAACCTTCCTTTCTCCTGTTCATTCATCAAGGACTGTTTGAATTGTTTAGTTTCCCATTCCACAATCTCCGCTTGTATTTCATCACTGCAGTACATCAGTGTCATTAAACTACATGGTTTGCCAAGAGAACATGCATGTTTACTGGATATGTGTGTGTAAGGGGGGTGGGGGGCAGGGGTTGTGTCGAAGTGAGGAAGTTTTGAAAGGCCTTATTTGGTAAGATGTCTCTGCGGAGAAGTGAAGAGGGTGTAATTTCCATAATTATTTTCGCTTCATTTTTGCTGAGAGTGAACCGGCTATGTTTGTCTAATAAGGGTGTGTAATTATTGTAATTATCACATGGTGATGAGTCAGGTCATTATGCAGTACGAAAGTAAAATTGAGAACAGTATTTACACAATGTTCTATGAAATGGACAAAAGTAGGATGGCGTCATCATGCTGATAGATCATGAGGGGTGAGGTTTCCTTGATGACAAATGGTGCGTCAGCTCCAGGGAGAGTAATGGCAACTGTTGGCAGCACTCACTCAAGGGGAGGGCGGTGAAGGTTGAACAATGCTCCATTTTCTGTCAGGTGGTGATTTTCTTCACACATTCATCTGGTGTTTCAGGTTTTCAGAATAATGTAATCACACTCTTTTCCTTCTCATCTTATCAGCAATGGCCCAAGAGACAAACCAGAGTCCGGTGCCCATGCTGTGTGCCACAGGCTGTGGTTTCTATGGCAACCCAAGAACCAATGGAATGTGCTCTGTATGCTACAAGGAACACCTGACAAGGCAACAGAGCAGCGACCGGATGAGCCCCCTTAGCCCTATGGGTATGTTAGACCACAACAAAATATGAAAAGGTGGACTCGGTTTCAATTTTTGGATTAGCCACCTTGCAAAACAATATAACCCGAGTGCTCCTATAGCTAAAGTTTAGGTCTCTAAAGGACCAAGAGGAATTGTTTTGAAATTCATTTATGACTCTCCTTCAGCGAGTGTGTATTCCCAGCACACCCTACCCTCCCGCTCTGTTTTTCCACTCAGCGTAATGAAAGACAGCTGTTTTCCTTAATGACATTATTCAAGGTTACATTCACTTATAAGGTCAATCTTGGGAGTCAACCATCAAAATCTTAACAGTAGACTAGCTCTATAATTTTAAGTGAAGAAAAGGGTATAAAACAGAGATCTTATTAGCATCTGACTGAATGTTCTCAAGAGCTCAATGATCATGTTGTGCTGTGAGTGCTGTCTAACGTTGCTAAATTTGTGCTCATGCAGGCTCAACTTCTAGTCCTACCTCAGAGGTGTCTGCAATCCAGAGACTAGAAGCTAGTCTAGCCAAGGTTGATGCCCGCCCTGCCTCCTCGCCAGACATGTCTAGGTCGGTATCAAGTGATTTGCTCTTACTGTATGCTGACTGGATGCTGCTCTCCTGCTTTTGCCTCATGTTCCCTTTTTTCCCCCCACACCTACAGAACTATTCAAGGATCTCTTCCTGTGACTCAACAAATGACAGAGATGAGCATCTCGACAGAGGACAAGCCTGAATCCCTAGAACCTGGTAAACACGCACGCGCACGCATATTTGAGCAGACATTTGATGCACATGCAGGTGACTGCTCACGCGCAGTCTTCTGTGAGGCCATGTTACATTCCATCCACTGAACCACGGGGGTTTTCTTTCTGCATCTAAGAAAGCAACGCTGTCTAGAAATAGACCTGTTTAAAAATAACTCCACACCAGAAGACGTTTTTGGATTAGATGCTGGCTAGCAGAAGCCCACTCAACAGGGCAGAAAGGGGTAATTTCAAGATGGAGCCTACATAAATTACTGTCTGGGTAACATGGAGTGATGCTAAGGAAAATGGTGTACAATAGATAAAGGATACATTTGCATTTAGTTTTTCGTTGTAATTTACTGTGCTGGCATCACTTCAAAGAAGTGTCCCAATTCTGCTGCATTTGCAACTTAGATGAGATCATTTGTCCTTTTAAAAAATTAGATATTTTTTCTCTCATCTACAGTTGTAAACCAGCCTGCTGCCTCTAGCGCAACTCCCATAGCTTCTTCGAGCAGCGACGACAGCAAGGATGACTCGTCCAAGCCGAAGAAGAACAGGTGCTTCATGTGCCGCAAGAGGGTGGGCCTTACAGGTATGTGGTGGGAACATTGTTTAAAATGGTCTTTCCGTTATTATTGTCCTCAACCGTTGTCAACTTCTCTACTTCCAGGATTTGACTGTCGCTGTGGAAACCTCTTCTGTGGTATCCACCGGTACTCTGACAAGCACAACTGTCCCTATGACTACAAAGCTGAGGCGGCCGCCAAGATTCGTAAGGAGAACCCCGTGGTGGTGGCCGACAAGATCCAGAGAATATAGGTCATGGTGCAAGTGGCAATGATGAAGACAACACTTTTTGGAAAAAGACTCGAGTGTTTCACCTTTGGAATTGAACACTGGCATTTGTGGCCAAGTGAGGATGGCAAGAACTCGATTTACAAAATTAAAACCTCAACAAGACATTAAAAGAGAATCCTGTCTGAGGGAGATGCATGAATGATCACTTTGCTCCCCTTTTGATTAATCCATTTTGTTAGTTTTATCATATTTTCTGTGGTGTGACTTTTTCTTCCCAGGAATACATATTGTCTTAGAAAGAGCAGCCCGAAGTAAATGTCGGAGGCAAACTGCGCTTCTCTCACCCTAACCAGGCATACAGTGTGCCAAACTGTAGACCACCCTTCTTGCTCACTCCCTGTCAAGCATCAGAAACCACATCGAGAATTGAGACCCCCAAATGTTGCACAAGAAGTTCTGTTAGTTTGTCCCTTGTCTTCCCCGGCTTGACCTACCTCACAGCTGCTCTGTTAGCCTTCTTTTCTCTCTAACTGCGTGTGCTCTTCCGCTGTGACCTCGGCAGAGAAGCAAGGCACCTCTCTTTCGCCTAAGTGACCCCTCAGATCAGCATTCTTATATTGACTGTTTGGTTTGATTGTGATGAGGCTCAGTCTTGTTTAGTTGTGGAGGTACAGTGCAGGGCAGGGACAAATACACGTTCATTTTCACTGAATTCAAACCCTAGTAGTGAGCAGGGTGAACGAGCTTGTACGTGAGTGACAGGCTGGAAGGAAGGGTGGATGCCTCACAGATCAATCTTGGCTACAAGGAATGGAATTTAGGCATGAATTTCTCTTCGTCTACAGGAGCGTTTTTAGAAAATATGGCCTCAATCTAGTTGGTTTGCAGGCATTTTTACTTGCTGAGACAATTATGTTTATTTTTGCCCCCGCTCATGCATCCTTCCACATACTGATATTGTTCTGATGTTGGCACATGTATGCAATGCATATCTGCAGTTAGAATATGTGAACCATGATTTTGTCTTTGGGTTTTATTCATTTTAAGTGTGCTAACCGAACATTCATGTGAGCACAGCGTGCGTGCGCGCAGAAACAAGGTTTATCAGCACATGTTTACAGAAAACTACAGGAGCATGCCAGAGGTAGATTAAAATGAAATAAAATATACTAGACTACCACAATTATATGTAGCGCGTGAGTGTGTGTGCGCGCGTGTATGTTTGTGTGTGTGTGCATTATTTTCATGGCTGCCTGACTGTACGTACAAGTTGTTCATGTTCCCAGTGTTTTTCATTTAAGACAACTATGTATCCGTTTTGATTTTTTTTCTCCCCGTTTCTGATTCTTAGTTATATGCAAATTTGTACAAAACAATGAAAAAACAACAAACTGTTGATATTTATGTATTGCATATAATCCTGCTCTCCAGCATTACCACAGAATAGTATCTTGTAAATAAAACTGTACAGAGAGACATTAACAATGGTTTTGTGTGTACTTTGTATATTATTAGATTGTGTGTGACTGTAAACAGCACAGTCATGCAATGCGATTACTGTTACTATTGAAGCATATAAAGATAAAGCTGCAATCCTCATTTTGCTACTTTAAACCAGAAACCTGCTCTTGTGAATAAAATGACATCACAAAGGATGACTCAGCACAGTAGTGTAGGAATTGCCAGGAAAACAATAGCGAGTGGCACCTCCTGTGTACACTGTAATACCTCATCTCAGCTAAACCGGTTGCTTGAACTTCGTGTTATTACGGAGACCTGACAACACTCATTGAATAACACCGACAAGAGTCATTCAAGCCTTGTCGGGGTCACACAGGAAGTGTTAGTGTTGCATTTTTAATGGATGAAGGTCGTACTGTACGCACAGAGTGTGTATGCTTCAAAAACAATCTGTTCTTTCACACTCCTGTTGGGAGTGAGTTCACAGATGACGTCACCGCAACAGCTGCTCAGACAGCTGAGGCGTGCTCATGTGGTGTTCCTGTCACAGAGAGTGGCAGAGATCACATTGTTTGGACACCGGCCGAGGACAATAGAAGATTTGGACAACATATTAGATAACAGCGTGGATCAAGGTGTTAGAACAGGGGTCACCCTTCTTTTGGAAACTGAGCTACTTCATGGGTGCTGATTAATGCGAAGGGCTATCAGTTTGATACACACTTTTGGGATAACAAATTCACTTTTGCTCCTTTTAGTTATGTGATTATTAATACTTATACTCATATTTGTGAAGACCTTGATCACGTTGATGATTTCTAGGAAATCACACCAGTGAGATATTTTTAGAACAGGCCTGCAGGCTACTGATGAAGTCCTTGGGGGCTACTTTAGGCACCATGTTGGCAAACCCTGTGTTTTGCATGTGAGAGAGTTAAGAGGAAGATTCAGCACATAACTTGCAACTAATGCTGACCTCTTGTAAACAAGAGCAAAAGTGTGGAAGAAACACTTCGTTGACACTTATCTGCCACCACAAGCACACAATTTCATAGTTTTCACTGGCACGTAAGGCTCGTGTGTCACACTGCTGACCCTGACCTGCTCCTGCACTCTCTGAAGTTCAAAAATAGAACAAAAATAAAACAACGTTTTATTTCTTTATTTGAAACTACAACGTATCGTAGTATGATTCGCCACAACATGAACCTCTCTGCAGTATGTGTGTACATGTGTGTGTGTGTGTGTTAATTATTAATTTGTTTTAATAATTTTGCATTATGTTAATGCTTCAGTAGGCTTCAGTTCACACACACGCACACACACACACACACACACACACACACACACACACACACACA